GTTAAATGATGAAAAATTAGGTGTCTGTTTACTTGTGACCACTCAGTGTACATTATGATATTAAGCGTAACTAAATATTTTCTTTTGCTTTAAACTATAAACTTATATTTGATTTGTATGTTCACATTTTTATTATAATGGTCATGAAAACTGTTTTTTTTCATTATCATTAGTAAAAATTAAAGACAATTCGCTGTGCCTGTATGCTCCAAACACATCAAACCGTGTGTCTGTCGTGAAAAGCTCCAGGCACGAGCGAATGTTGCAAGAAAAACAAAATAGATTAGTTCTCTTATTTGAAGTTCAGTATGGCTTGCATGCATGAACTTAGGAAACACAATGAACCTTACATGAAAATATAATATTATTACTTTAGCATAGAAATAATTAATGTATACAAAAATTATGAAAGATAAAGAGATTTTTAATAAAACGTTCAATTCTCACCAGGAGAAGAACCACACATGCAAAAGTAGAAGTTGGTCACGTGGCCCTTAAGGGATTACCATAGTCACGAAGTTACTTGGTTATCTTGAAACTTGATGTCTGTGTATAATTAAAGTAGATTTTTCACGTTCTATAAATATTGTGATCTATTTCAAGAATAGTATAATAGATACATGTTCACTGAGTAGGAGTATACTATGTTAATAAATTACATTTTAAAATTTTACACTAACGTGTAATATGTAATAATATCTTAATTTTTTTCTAGGGCTGATCGTTTTTTGTATTGCTTTTGGAATAATCTGTGGACAGGTGGGAGAAGAAGGGGAGATCATGGTGAACTTTTTCGTAATCCTCAACGAGATTATCATGCGAATCGTCGTACTGGTCATGTGGTAGGTTCTGATATCCACTCTATCATAGTGTTAGTCATGTGGTAGGTTCTGATATCCATTCTATCATAGTGTTAGTTATGTGGTAGGTTCTGATATCCATTCTATCATAGTGTTAGTCATGTGGTAGGTTATGATATTCATTCTATCATAGTGTTAGTCATGTGGTAGGTTCTGATATCCATTCTATCATAGTGTTAGTTATGTGGTAGGTTCTGATATCCATTCTATCATAGTGTTAGTCATGTGGTAGATTATGATATCCATTCTATCATAGTGTTAGTCATGTGGTAGGTTATGGTATTCATTCTATCATACTGTTAGTCACGTGGTAGGTTATGATGTTCATTCTATCATTGTGTTAGTCACGTGGTAGGTTATGATGTTCATTCTATCATAGTGTTAGTCTCGTGGTAGGTTATGATGTTCATTCTATCATAGTGTTAGTCACGTGGTAGGTTATGATATTCATTCTATCATAGTGTTAGTCACGTGGTAGGTTATGATATTCATTATATCATAGTGTTAGTGATGTGGTAGGTTCTGATATCCATTCTATTATAGTGTTAGTTATGTGTTAGGTTCTGATATTCATTCTATCATAGTGTTAGTCATGTGGTAGGTTATGATATTCATTCTATCATTGTGTTAGTCAGGTGGTAGGTTCTGATATTCATTCTATCATAGTGGTAGTTATGTGTTAGGTTCTAATATTCATTCTACCATAGTGCTAGTCATGTGGTAGGTTATGATATTCATTCTATCATAGTGTTAGTCACGTGGTAGGTTCTGATATCCATTCTATCATAGTGTTAGCTATGTGGTAGGTTTGATATTCATTTTATCATAGTGTTAATTATGTGGTAGGTTCTGACATCCATTCTATCATAGTTTTAGTTATGTGGTAGGTTCTGATATCCATTCTATCATAGTGTTGTCTGTGTGGTACGTTCTGGTATCCATTCTATCATAGTGTTGTCAGTGTGGTAGGTTTTGTTGGCTGATATTCATTCTGTTATAGTGTTAGACATGTGGTAGGTTTTGTTGGCTGATATTCATTCTATTATAGTATTAGACATGTGGTAAGTTTTGTTGACTGATATTCATTCTATTATAGTGTTGGTCATATGGTAGGTTTTGTAACTGACAGTCATTCTAATATCATGATGGTTATGTGGAAGGTTTTTATTGCTGATATTCATTCTAATATCATGATGGTTATGTGGTAGATTTTTATTGCTGATATTCATTCTATTGTCTTGATGGTTATGTGGTACATTTTGGTGGCTGACATCCATTCTATTGTTATGTTGGTTATGTGGTAGATTTTGGTGGCTGACATCCATTCTATTGTTATGTGGTAGATTTTGGTGGCTGTCATGTTAATTATGTGGCAGGTTTTGATGGCTGATATCAATTCTATTGTCATGTTGGTTATGTGGTAGGTTTTGATGACTGATATCCATTCTATTGTCATGTTAGTTATGTGGTGGGTTTCGATGACTGATATTCATTCTATTGTCATGTTGGTTATGTGGCAGGTTTTTATGGCTGATATTCATTCCATTGTCATTATGGTTATGTAGTAAAAGAGTAGCCCAAGAGTTGATGGTAGGTGGGTGACTAGTTGCCTTCCCTCCAGTCTTTCACTGCTAAATTAGGGACGGCTAGCGCAGATAGCCCTCGTGTAGCTTTGCGCGAACTTCAAAACAAACCAAAACCAAATCACATATGAGATGTTCTAATTATTAAAGGATAAACATACACACGTACTTTGCAAGTTATCTGAGGTTACATTCAACAATGGGTATAAAACAAAACATTAGAGGAAGGAAGGGCTTCAGTGAGGTACCACAGGTACCTAATGATGATTATCTGACCGGTTTGTTGTGTTGTCGAAGGTCGGGCTTGCAGTAATTTGTTGATGTAAACTTTTCAGTATAATGTTGGTCATTGGTCACTTAGTTTAAAAGCAGGGAATGATTGTATTTTATTTATGTACTAGCTTTGCATCTTTTTTCATGTTTTAAATACATTATTGAGTGTTTTTCTCCGTGGTGTATTTCTCACAGATATTTTAAATAAGATAATAATAATAATAGTTTTAAAGTTTAAAGCTTTAGCTCGCTTTACTGTATTTACTTTATCGTTCTAAAATAGCTTATTTTTACTTTTGTGAACTCTGACCACAGCTTTCTTTGTTAAGTCTCACTGTTTAATGTCAAGCTACATTACTCGTGTGTATGTTTCTTTGGAATATACTTCTCAAAGTTAGTAAAACCCGTTAAACCTGTCGAATGGCAATTGCTCGAAAGTTCACTTTAATATTGCTTTATTATAAGTTAATGTTGTGTCATTAAACTTTACTTGTGAATGTTTTATCCTTCCAACGTCGCACTGATTGTAATATTAACTGAATACATTAATGTAACATTTTTATTTTTGCTTTGCTACTTGATTAAGCATTGCTTATTTCCACGTAAGAAGAATTGTTTTTCTAATGACGAATCACGACTGATTTCACAGGTACTCCCCCTTCGGCATCATGTCGTTAATTATCGGAAAGATCATGTCCATCAAAGATCTAGCCCTCACTGCCCAACAGCTAGGACTGTATATGCTGACGGTAATCATTGGTCTCGCGATCCACGCGGTGATCACTCTTCCTACCATATTCTTTGTCTTCACTAGAAAGAATCCATTGACTTTCTTCAGAGGAATGCTACAGGCATGGATCACTGCTTTGGGTACTGCTTCTAGGTGAATATATTTCGTTTTGCGTAGTTTTCTTGTCCACGTGAATAAATATGTATATATATATATATATATAATAAGCATTAAGAATATTTTAGTAAAAAATCCATTGTCAATCCCAGTTCTCACCTTAAAGTCATAACGGATAATGTCTGTGGTAATAGCACCCATATACGTCGGGGATGTTCTATCTACCAGACAAAATCCAAACGCTGATTTTAAACTGGCCAGTAATAATGGAAAATCAATTAAGGATATGGATTTGAGTACTTACATCCACAACGTCTCAACTCTTACTGCCTTTCACTGTCTACTGCCAGGAATTATATAAACTTTTAAGGGGAACTGCCTTCCCACAACTGGTTGCAGACAGTGAAAGGCAGTAAGAGTTGAGACGTTGTGGGTGTAAGTACTCAAAATCCATACCCTTACTTGATTTTCCATTATTACTGGCTAGTTTAACATTAGCGTTTGGATTTTGTCTGGTAGATAGAACATCCCCGACGTATATGGGTGCTATTACCACAGACATTATCCGTTATGACTTTAAGATGACGACTGGGATTTACAGAGGATTTTGCTAAAACTTCGTAATGCATATTTTATATTAAGTTCATTATTGTTTTATAGTGCTGATTTTAATCGTATATTACTAATTAATGTAATTATTAGTATTGAAGCTATTTATTTCATTATATATATATCTTATATGTTTAAGGTTTGGAGACGGCTTGAATAGGTAGTAAAAAAAACGTTATTACAAATGTACAACGTTTCGACAACCTGACATAAGCATGTCGAAACGTTGTACATTTGAATAAAAAGTGGGTTCCTCGTCAACACGCCTTATATACTTTCTTTGTCCCTAATTAAATATATGATCTGTCAACTTCTTATCCACGTTTATTTTGACTTCTGTGGTTCGTCTGTTTAACTGTTTATCAAATTAATCATGTAGTAGTAGAATTTTATGGATGGCTAACAATCGTTAATGTGTTCTCGAGACTCACGAAAAGCACTCGTTACTTGGCGTGTTTTGAGTTAGTGTCGTCTGTCTTGTCATATACAATATGCTTAATAGGTTGTGAAAAAAAAATATGTTAACCGAAAAGAGAAGATCTATTCTACATACGCCTGGAAATAGTGTAATAAAAGGGTATTTAACCATAAGATCGAGAATGCTAACAGAAGAACATTTTGCTATGTCATCTGAGAAGAATTCCAGCAGAGCCTCATGTCGTATAACCAAAATATGTGACGAAATTCCTTCTTGCCATATGAACATGAACAGGGATACAGGAATATTCTACCATGAAACAAAGAAGCACAAACATTTGTTCAAGTAACACCTAAAATAATACAAACCCAGATTTAGAAGGAAATTTCCTGTGTATTCTTCATATAGTATTTTGTCTTAGTCTGATATATTACTAAACATTCTCAAAGGGTTTTACATTAACATCAATTACGTCTAAGAACAATAACGTGTGGAATTCCTTTCTTATTGAGTTGCATAGCAAGAACATATCCTATAGGTTTTGCTTCTTCTATACTGTGGGAAGTGTATCGCATTTCACTCAGTTATCATATAAGTTTTGATGGATGATCTGGGAAGTGTATCACATTTCACTCAATTACCATAAGTTTGATGGATGATCTGCGAAGTGTATCACATTTCACTCAATTACCATAAGTTTGATGGATGATCTGCGAAGTGTATCACATTTCACTCAATTACCATACAAGTTTGAAAAATACTTTTAACTTCTGAAGGAGAATAGTCAACTATTCGAAAGCGCTCGGTTTTCTGGATCTTTTGAAACTAACTTGATATTTTGAGTTATTATTTGTGCTAGTTCTTGAATCATGGAAAATATTTAATGTTTCGACTGTGATCTATGTTATGAAGCTACTACAACTGCGATATTACATTTTCAAGCACTTGGAATCTCTGCAAATAGTTATATTTTTGTCCATAGTGTATGTATAGGAGAAGCAAAACAAACTTGTATTGATTATTGAAAAGACAAAGAAATTTCCTCATTAAGAACTGTTGTGTTCGGGTAGGGGTTGCTATGCACGTCCAATCGTTTAACTGATCCTCTATCTTTTTAGCGGTGTATTTTAGATTTTGTAATAGTTCCTGTCATCCTTTCTTTATACCCTGCATTTTGGATGTTATGATACTTCCTACTATCATATCACTCTATCCTCTGTTTATGATGTTGTGATATTTTCTGTCATTATGTCTTTCTATCACGTGTTCTAGGGTGTTGTGATATATCCTGTTACCATATCATTTTACTCTGTGTTTAAGATGTGATATTTATCGTCGTCCAATCTTTCTTGTTTTGTATGATGTAATACTTTTTGTAATTTCATACATGGTGTATATAGCATGATTTATCTCACTTTGTAACAAGTTAATCTGATCACTTTTTGTTTTCCTTTTTACCAGTGCTGCAACACTCCCTATCACTTTTCGTTGTCTGGAGGAGAACAACAATGTGGACAAGCGTGTGACTCGCTTCATTCTGCCGGTAGGAGCTACAGTTAATATGGACGGTACTGCCCTCTATGAGGCTGTTGCGGCACTATTCATTGCTCAAATGAACGGGATATATTTGAGTGTTGGACAGGTGATAGCTGTAAGGTGAAGAGCTCTTTCAACTTCATACATGCATGATATTTGTACATCTAAAATATTCTGTTTTGTGTGAAACTGACAGATAAAACTTCTCTTGTGAGACAAATAACATGATTCTTTGTCACGGAATAAAAAATAGTGTTGTAATCCATCTTTGAGGAAATGTAAAATTGTATTAATGCTACTAACTTGTGTCAATACCTTGTCATGTGATAAGTCATGCATGTAGTAATTCTCTGTTGTACCAATGTAGGTACCTGTGTTTACTTGATTTTTAAAGTGATTCCACAATTTTCAACAAAATTATTTGCTTTTTTTTAATAGGATATGAAATGGAAGGAAAATATTCGAGATGTTAGGGTACCCCCAAAAAAATAATGCGAGGGGATTTTTGAGATTGTGAGGTTTGAGTGGATCGATTTACTTGAAAATATATATTAACAATAAGGGACATTTCCAAGTAATGGTATAAGTTCAAATTCTTGGAAAATTTCAAAATTGACTCTCCTCCACTTTATGGAGATCAAATGGGTTTGGGGAACTATTAAGACTGGAGTAATACATTGACATGAAAATTGGCATCATGGACATGTGAGGGTTTGCTCAAAATAAGTATGTTCGTTGAAATTTTTGAAATTTTCACCCTGGGCCCCTCTAGTGGAGGATCAAGAGGTTTTGGGGGACTGTCTCAACTGGTTGTATGGATTTACATGAAAATTGATAAGAACGTGTAAATGATTGTTCCAAACACGATGTAATCTGTTTGAAGTTGTTGTTTTCCGTGAATTTTTGCGAGTAATTTACAAGACATGTACTTGACATGTTCCAGTTAAAACAAGCAGAACCGTAAGTTGAATGAACCATCAAATATTTGCTTAAAAAGTTTGATGTTTCAAAAACCCATTTTTGTCTCCATATGTTTGTCTGTATATGTTTCCATCTAAATTTAAATAACTTATCCATTCAGACGTTAGATCTCTAATGGTCACACGTATTAGAAAGTAATCTATTTCAGTTGTTATAAAAAGTATTCACCCTTTTTTCAGTCTGTTTTTTTTTCAAAATTAGTAAAAAGTATACAAATGTTAGATGCTAAGAACGACCAGGACGCATAAGTTTAATCCCTCGTCATTCTCCTATTTATTATTGAATTCTGCTTTTCCTATTGATTATCGCGATTCAGTCCTAAATTCAACTTGCCCTGAAATGTGTTTGGTTCATCATTATCAATGAAACGATATATATTTTGCTGTGGTTCTTAACCACGATTGTTGCATTTATATATGTGTATATATTTGTATGTTTCCTATAGCCTTACAGCCACGGCAGCCAGTATAGGAGCAGCCAGTGTCCCCAGTGCTGGACTGGTTACCATGTTATTGGTTCTATCTGCAGTTGGACTTCCCACAAAGGACATCTCTATGATTGTCGCTGTGGACTGGCTACTGTAAGTATGAAAGCTTGTAAACACAGATTTCTGTTAACAAAACAAGTACGTTTTTTTTTCCTTCTTTTTATTATTGAACTAGTCAAACCAGAAATAAAAATAGAGCTACTTAGTGGTCGTAGTAATTAATACAAAGTACTATAAAACAGTCAGTGATTGGACGTGATAAAGTACATGGTTCGTTCAGTAAGCTTCTCGGTGTTTCAGCGGTAAGTCTAAGAGCTTATGACGTTAAAAATTGGGTTTCGATAACCGCTGCGGCACAGCACAGATAGACCATTTGTGTTGTTTTGTGCTTAAACAACAAAACAGACAAATCATTTTAAAAAACTAAGAAAACTCTAACTAAAATAAAAGAACTTGCTAAATTTGTCTTCCTTGGCTACTCTATTTACCTAGCATGTCAACACTAAAATTAAGTATGAGTAAATGAACATGAAAATGAGGAGGGAGTTTTTAGTTTAGATCGTATATGTATACTGAAAGACTGATTTTGTTTATTTATTTGCTTAAACATAATGATAAAACTTTTCATTTGACGGCTATATTTTCAAAATCATATTACCATTGTTACATGAAAACTGACACAGAAAGTATGTTGTACCCTATCTAAAAACTGTAAGCGGCTATGTAGTTAGTTGTTTATGAAAGTAAACGAAAAAGTATTAATGATTTAATACACGACATGAAAAATTGTTTAGTTAAAAGGCACTAAAAACAACATTTCTAAGTTGAACATTTACATAACATAACATCTTCAGGTACTATAATAGAACGTGAACATTAATTTTTTCTTCAATTGTTTGTTTGAAGTTACGCACGAAGCTACACAATGGGCTATCTGTGCTCTGCCCACCACGGGTATCGAAACCC